CCCTTCCCCCCCCCCCCAAAAATAACCATCTCACACCTTCCATCGCAGGCCCTGCTGACCCAGCCCAGCATGCGCAGCGCGGCGGCAACACTCTCCGTGCTGCAGCCCCTGCTGCGCGTCCTGCTGGAGGTGCTGTGCCCCGCCTCCGATGTCCAGTCAGTGGGCACGCAGTCCGCCGCCCTGGAGCTCCTGGCGGGGGTCCTGCCCCGCTGCGCACGCGCGCCGCCGAGCGACGACGCCCGCGCGCTGGCCGTGTTCTGGCGCGCTGCCGCGGAGGGCGCGCTGCTGGCCGTGGCCGCCTGCCTACCCGTGCAGCACGCGGCGGCGTGCGCCGCGCGGCTGCGGTCCCTGCCAGGCACGCCGCCGCCGCTGCTGCCCGCCACCCCTGCCTCTGCCGGCGCGGCCGCCAACGCGCTCCTGCAGCTGCTCCCCCGCCTGCCGGGCACGGCGGCCGTGGAGGCACTGTACCAGCGGCACGGTCCGCCCTGCGGCGCCGGGCACGCCTCACACTCGTCGGGCCAGCCCTTCCGGCCGGCAGGCTTTGCCTGGAGCCGGGCGGACCGGGCCGTGGGGCTGGTGCAGGCCATGGTGCTGGCCGTGGCGCGGGCGCACGGGGAGGAAAGCGGGGCGGGGATCGAGCATCAGCGGGTCGGGCGCGGGGCGGTGTCGATGCAGCACGGGGTCGCCATCGACGAAGAACCCTCGCTGGGGGCAGGCATCAACCCCGCGGGTGACCAGCCGCTCTGGCCCGTGCCGGAGCACAGCCCCGGGTTCCTCGCTTTCCCGGCCATGCACTACCTGATCGCGGGCGGCGGGGTGGCCGCCAAGCCCCTGGCCCCGGCCTACCGCGCGCTGCGGGCGAGCATGGCGGGGTGCGCCTCCGGGGCCCTCCTGCTGGCCAGCCTCCCCCTGAAGAGGGTGGGTGGGACCGGGGAGGGCGCGACAGGTGACGGCGAGGAGCGAGGGCCGGGTGGGGCCGGGGGCGCTCGGCCCGTGCTGGCCCGGAAGCAGGGCCTGAGGAGCGAGGGCGAGGCGGGCGGCGTGGGCGGCCGCCTCTGCGGCACCCCGACCCCGAAGGTGCGCGTAATAACTTC